TGAACTCTGTTGAAAATAGGTTCAGGAGGGGGGAGAGGATACACACACAGGGACACATATTTTTGTAATGATGAACATGATAAGAAAGGTACATAGACCCAAAATCTGGGATACTATGTCACTTGACAAAAAATTCATTAATATAAAACGGATATACGAGCACAAGTAAATGACCGGAAATAAAAATGTTAAGAATGAAAAAAGGTTTGGAAAAAGTGAATGATGAGAATAGTGGAAACACAACACACACACACATGTGTACACAAAATGTTTCATTTTAAATTGAGATATTATACACACACACAAACATGCTTTTCCCATTAGCCAAACATTTTGTGACCTTCCACCTGACATGTTTTATTCTTTGTAATTTAACCCAAACTCCCTTGTCCACTAAATACCGACTTAGGTTGAAATTACAATTAATCAAGATTTAACAAATTTCTAAACTTAAGTGATCTACGATAGACCACAAATGTGGCAATTTAGTTTAGGATAATCACGAGAGCAGGAAAATATTTTCATTGTAGTAGAATTCATGGAACCATTAGTTGTAATTACTGAAGTGTGTGGCGATTTTCCGCCCTTATAAACTAAAACCAAATGTGATGCGAAAATTTTCAAATCGGTAGTCAATGACATAATTAACGACAATTATCGATAACAACAACTTTTTGCAAAAAATGCTGGCTATTAAAGATATTGTCGGCAAGTTAGAAACGACAAGTAAAAAAGTATCGGTCGGTTTTGCCGACAGATTCATACCCTCAGCCAATGTTCGATTATTTAAAAATATTTTGATTTCTGTTATCGCCAAGCTTCGACGCCGACCTTGTGTTGTTGCCATCTGTTTTGTCACTAACACAAGGTCGGCGTCGAAGCTTGGCGATATTTTGTAAAATTTTGTTATATGTTTAAACAGTATTGTTCCTGACGATGTCTTTCGTTGGAGGACGAAATATCGAAAATAATAAATAATTAAACAACAACAAAGACCTCGAGCTCGTTTTTTATTAAATTTGACATTTGTAACAATATATAATAAAGGTCGAATTAAATATCTAAAAATCAAATGATTATTCAAATGTTTAACCCCTTATGCAGTAGGTTCCGAAGTAATGGGACAATATTGGCCATTTCGTATCGGACCTAAATAAATATGATATAAATATTGCAACGTGCCAGGTTTGGACTGTGTTGTGTTGATGGAAATATTGGTATATACCAAGTTTTGAATGGAATCGGATGGCAATTTCGCTTTTCATTAGCTTCATGAATATTCGAAATTTTGAGACTTTGTGGGGGAAGTACTAGAAGGAGTGGACCGATATATTCCAATATATTTTTGAAAATATCCACTATTAACACCAGACCTTGGGTTAATATAAATATTGGGCTGTGTGACTGCGCACGATACCTCTCGAAGGGAGTATCCGATCTGGTCCAAACTTTGTACATCGTAATATTTTTTTGTCAAACTTAGATCGAGTTTGGAGATGGGAAATGTCGGTCCCCTCCTTCTGGTACATCCCCCACAAAAGTTCTAATTTTTCAAAAAAATATATTTTCTGCACAGAAAGAAAAGGGATAATCCGATTTCGCACTAACTTTGCACATCCTAATATTTGCGTCAGAGCTAGGTCAAGTGTGAAAATAGACAATATCGGTCCACTCCATCAAGTTCCTCCCCCACAAAGGGTTAAAATTTTGAATTATTACAACTTTTATAAAATATGATGTAAGAGTCCGATTGTCTTCAAATTTCACACATCCCGATAATTTTATTTGACCAAGGTCTGTTAAGATGGGATATATCAGTACACTTCTACTGGTACCTCCCCCTCAAAGGGTCAAAATTTTGAATAACCAAAACGTTATTAAAATCGAAATAAGCTCAGGTTCTTTTTATATTTAACATATACAAACATTGTTGCTAACACAAGATCTGGTGGATATATATTTAAGCATACTGAGCCGTGATGAGAATAGTAGTTGCCTGAATTTATACATTTCAATAAAGTTTTTGAATTTACTGTTTTGGATGTTATAGCTTTTCTGGCGATCTTACTGTCCGTTAGGACGTTCACGGTAGCCGGTTTCGACATTGAGCCACTTCAGACACTCTACAAATGCCCGGACCTCCGCTTGAAGGGTCGTATTTTGATCGGGTGAGCGAAAAGAGATTACTGAATATGGTTCTTCAATAAAAAAAGTCCCAGTCCCGCTTTCCACCTAGCACTAAGACGTCTGTGTATCAAGAGTTTCTAATAGACATTATGATAAGAATCCGTCGATCTCCTAACAGGCAATAATTAATGTTTCGCACTAGGCAGCTACAATTGTTTCAGGCATCCCGTCCGACACAATGTTTTTCATTGATTCTCCCGTTGTTACCTCCATTTTTTTTATGATGGTATGTCACGTGGCTTTTAATTATTCACTCGTCCGTCTCCTTGAGCCGTATGCCCGCGACGGCCACTTCATTCCGTATCCGAATATCAATTGGGAGCACACATAAAATTACAAAGCCCTCAAATTGGCTACAAATATATTTTAAAGATTTTATCGAATTATTTTTATTCCCTACGTCACATTGTGGTCAGGGTATTATGTCTTTGTGTATTTGTTTGTAACATAGAGAAGGAAGCGAATTAGACCCATAGTTCCGTTTTATGATCTGTATAGAATCACATTCTGAGTCAATATATGCATGTCCGTCTGTCCATATATTTTTGTATACAAAGTGCAGGTAGCAATTATTGCCCGATCAAAATAAAAATTTTCAGAAAACATTTTTTGGTCCAAGGACGAATCCTATTGAAATTGGAGATAATCGGTCAAAATTTAGATGTAGTCCCCATATTTATTGGTCCAAATAAGATGGAATTCGGCACATATAACCAAATTGAGCGTTATCGTATAGACCCTAATATAACGGCTACATTCAATATTTTTAAGATTTTAAAAGAATTTTTAACGGATTTTATTGTTTTGAGAATTCCCAATTCTGTCAGGTAGAAGTCTAAGAAGGATATCTTAACATAAAATTTGTGTAAGCATTGGAGCCAAATTGCCATCCGTTAAAGGCTCTTTAAACTGTGACAGTGACAACAGATCATAACTAGAAGTTACATACTTATGCGTTAACTCCTCTTTAGCGGCCACAAACTATAATTTCCAATCCAAATTAAACAACCTAATCATGTATTCCTAACCAATTTTTGACAGCCATAGGTGTGTACACATCTACTGACACTTATTTTTACAAGGTCACGTCACCTGAAATGAGTAGTATTTTTGGCTACTGTAATGAACTGATAACATTCTGATTAGTAGTTACTGCTTGAAGTCTTACATCTACAACTCGTCGCAAATGAGCTGTCAACTATTGTATGAGATATGGCGAGCAACTCTTTATAAGTACTACTTGGCTTTAAAAATACGATAATGGGAATCAGCGACTAATAGTTCGTTGATTTGGAACGAAATTGGTCTGAGGACACAGTCCTCCATTAAATACAATATTAATATTTATAGCCTCAGGCATGTGGCTACAGAGGGTATATACAATTTGATACGGTCAAAAGTCGAAATAAGGGTTTTTTTAACGGTCGATCTAGCGATGTCCGTCCATCTGTCTGTCTAATAATTGCGTCAGTGCTAGGTAAGCTGTGAAAATGGAGAATATAGGTCCACTCCATCAAGTTCGTACCCCACAAATGGTCAAATTGTGAATAATCACAAGTTTATAAAATGTGATTTAAGAGTCCGATTGTCTTCAAATATCACACATCCTAATATTTATATTAACGCAAGGTCTGGTGTTAAGATGGGCAAAATCGGTCCTCTCCTTCTGGTACCTCCCCCACAAGTGGTCGAAATTTGCAAAAAAAAAATATTTTCTGCACAGAAAGGGCAGCAATCATCTAATTTTGCTTTAATCCAAGAAGAAGAACCCAAGAAGATGGTAGTAAGACGGAATATATCGGTTCACCCCTTCTGATACCTCCCCCATAAACGTTCAAAATTTTTAATATCCATGAAGATCATAAAAAGCGAAATCAACATCAACGTAAGATCTGTTATAAAGATGGTAGAGATCGGACCCTTTATTTTGCTACCTGCCCCACATAGAGTTCAAAATTTTGAAAAACATAACGCTCAACGAAAGCGAAATAAGCATCAAACTCTCTTCAAATTTCACACATGCAAACATTTTTGCTAACACAAGATCTGTTGTGAAGATATCAAAGAACCCCTTCTGGTACCTCACCCACAAAGGGACAACATTTTCAATACTTTTTTTACTTGTTTTAGTCCAGGTATGTATTCAGTCTTTTCTTCTCATTACGTTATCTAGCTAATGAGACGAAAATCCCACTTTTGCATAAATAACAATTTGAATATGCACCTGATATAGTTGTGCATTTAGTTTTGATGATAATCTAGAACCCATTGTTTTGTCCAGTTGAAAGCAATTTTGATATAGCAAAAAATGACTCAATAATCGGAGTTAACCATTCGTGTACACTTTACCGCAATTTGTGTCCTACACAATGATTTTAGCCAAATCGATTTCAATTTGTTTTCCACATTTTCGTTTTGTTCATATTTACAATGCAGGTATTGTATCTGAGTATAAAACAACTTAATTGGTTGGCAATATCCTGTTTCTTCAGATTTTTGGCACTGACACTATATTTCAGATAGAATAATTTCCTGCGGTTAATTTTTGAGAGGCTTTGTAACACAATATCCGCCACAACACTTTCAGGATGGAGCAGGGCCATTTAGATTTCATAAATGTTGATAAAGAAAAGGTATGTGTGTAAACGAAAGAGTTTTCTTTCTTATTTTCGCATCAAGTGGAGAGGGAAATTTCTTTTTAAGGAAAATAAACAGCAGCAACCTCGTAAAACATCAGTCAATTTATGTAACATATTAACCTGTGTTAAAAAAAATACAAAATATTTAAAAAAAATCTCTTTTTGTGTTTCTAGTGTCTTAATGCAATAAGTGATGTTCTCTGGTCCCTTGACTCTATGACAATTTTGCAAGTAAATCAAATATTTAATAATCCGTTTTTATTAAATTATCCACAAATTGTATAAAAGTTACTATTCAAATAACTAACTAAGCCAACCGCATTTTGTGACATCAACAACAACAACGGCAACAACAACAAACGGCAACCTATATAATTAACATTGTCGCCAGGCGAGCATAACAATACCAACATAATTAGCAGCAACAACAACTACAACAATAAAAGCATCAACATACCAACAACAACCGAATTACATTCATAATCATCGCAAGGGGAAATCTCTGCAGAATCTCTGGAATTTGCCAAAGACCACTGTGTTGACCACATACGGACACCCGCACACACACACACACGCAAGCACGTTCTCCCATACAACCGAAGTGGGAAATCGCAATTAATGTCTGTCATCTGTACATAGCCTGTAAATCAACGTCTACCAAATAACAACAGCAACGGCAACAACAATAACATCACAATTACAAAGGCCAATTAAAGCGTTTAATTAAGGTAAGTCGAACAATCGGACAAACAAAACAATTTAATCAGAAATGTGTTATCTCTGCAAATATGAATGGATTTTTTCAAAATTTAATTGCACAGATTGAAAATTGTGTTGGGGGACTACATACATGACAAGAGTAATGACATGCCTAGTGCTTTATAACTATAAGCCTGTATGTCGATACAATATTGAAGGCAAAGGTTTCAAAATAGTTTTTCAAAAGTTTGACTTTTATTCCTTATGCCATGCTGTGGTACAGGGCTTTATGTTTTTGGCATTTAAACCACTGAAAAACGGCAAATGTGAAGGTTCCCACATATGGAGGGTATACCAAACAGTTGGACTTTTAAACAATTATTTTCAAATAAATCGTTGAAAAAAATGTGAAAATCTTGAAAATCCTCAAATCAAAGTATCATTCGGCTTTACCGACTGATGTATACCCTAAGTCAATGTTCTATTATTTAAATATATGTTGACTTCTGTTATAATTATTCTAATTGTTGACCCTCTATGGGGTAGGTTCCGAAGGAATGGGCCAATATTGTCCATTTCATATCGGACCTAAATAAATATGATATAAATATTGTGACGTGCCAGGTTTGGTCTATACCGACTATTTCCTTCACTTTATATGAGATATGTGATAATTTTAAAAAAATGTGAATTTTATGAAAACGTGATTTAGCAGATACCGATAAAGTCGACAGATAAAAGTATTTGCATGGGCAAAATTACAAGAAAATGGAACATTTGTATCCAATTCTATGAGAAATCATAAATTCCATATTCATCTCAAGTTTCTGGTTGAGATAAATATTTAGATATAGCAAGTTGTATTGAATCGATGAATTGTTTGCAAGTTATGACAGATATAAGTATTAAAAATTTTGACCCTTTGTGGCTGAGTTACAAGAAGGGGTTCGCAGATATATATCATCTTCTCAGTAGATCTTGTGTTAGCCAAAGTGTTGGCATTTCTCGATTTATGAGCTTCATGGATGTTCAAAATTTTGACCGTTTGTGGGGGAGGTACCAGGAGGAGTGGACCGATATATCGTATCTTCACAACCTTGGGTTAATAAAAATATTGTGATGTATGTAATTTGAAGACAGTTGGATTTTATAAGAGTTATAACAAATTTGACCTTTTGTGGGGGATATACTTAATGCAGTGGACTGATATTGTCCATTTTCCACCTTTTGTGGGGGAGGTAGCAAAAGGAGTGGACTGATGTAGCGAATCTTTGAACTCCATCTAAGTTTAATACTAATGTTACGATGTGCCACGTTTGGATCAAATCGGGTACTCCTTTCGAGATTTATCGTGAGCACCAGACAGCTAGACAGACGGACGGGCATCGCTAGATCGACTCCAAATGTCCTGAAACAGATTTTGTCCAAAGAGACCTAATTTCTAAAACTGTTATTTTAATGAAGTACTTGTGGGCGTATCAAATGAAATATACCCTCTCTAGTCATATGGGTGAGGGTATAATTAAATATTTCGACAATCAAAAGTTTTGATTTTGCAAATGGACACAGTTATTATAAATTTAAATTCAGATTATAATTTGTTTAAATTAACGGATGCTATTATCAAGGCTGCGGAATCAAACCATTATTTTTAACAACTCCAACTAGGCAATATAATCCGAAAAATCCTATTCATTCTAGACACCTCTACAGAAATCATCTCAAAGAAAGGAAAAAATATGTTTAAAAGGCTCTTTTATAACTACAGAATGCAAAGAGAATATCTCCAAGTTGCAAAAGAGATTGCGAAATTATTTTATGAAAAGTAAATGGCCTTTTTAAACCCTCCACCATAGAATGGAGGGTATATTAAGTATGTAATTCCGTTTGTAATACCTCGAAATATACATTTTAGACCCACAAAGTATATATATTCTTGATCAGCATAACATTCTATATCCATTTAGCAATGTCCGTCCGTCTGTGGAAATCACTCTAGCTTCCGAACGAAATGAAGTAGGTTGATAAAATTTTACTCAAATGTGTATTATGTCTGTAGAAATGTATTGAAAATGTGCCATGTAGGCCCATGTATTCGTATAGCCCCGATATAACGGTACCTCCCGATATGCGGTATTTTGATTATTTTAGCGACATTAGTTACCGGAATTGTTTCAAAATTGGTATTTAAAGTTCGTAATAGATGCCACGGCTTAAAAGAGAAAATGGGCCATGTAGGTCCACGTCTTTGTATAGCCCCAATATAACGGTACCTTCCGATATTCGGTATTTTGATGATTTTAGCGACATTATTTACCGGAATTATTTCACATTTTGTATTTGAAGTTCGTAATGGATACTACAACCTGTACCAGAAATTTTTCTGTGCAGGTCCACGTTTTCTAACCCCCATGGTACCTCCCTATATTCGGTATTTTGATGATTTTAGCTACATAATAAACATATTTTTTACAAGTTTCGCATTTGAATATTGTAATAGCTGGTGACAAAAGTTGCCTATGCAGGTCTACATCGTGGTATATAATATAAAGGCTACATTCGGTATTTTTAAGATTTTAACAGATTTTTTAGCGGATTTTATTTTGTTTTAAAATTGCCAAAATCCTTCCTAATAGTGGATGGTATTCAAATATCGGCCCGGCCGAACTTACTGCTTTGTTACTTTTTTATATTAACGAATTAAAGAGTTTTATGTGTTAAAGTAAATACAGGGTTAAGTTTTAACCTCATTAAAATCCATAAATCTCATTGCATGTCCAAATCTGTAGAAGCTCTAAATATTTTCCGAAATAGTCTCGAACAGTTGATTAACATGTCTAGAACCTTGAAGACTGTCGTTGTATAAAATCAACTAATATACATAAGTTTCTTCCTACTTGACGCTTTAGAAATATCCAAATTATGTCTTTATTAAAAATTGTGACTGGGGTTACACACCCTTCCAATCACATGTTGTGCTTCCATTCCTTTTTCAGACATAAGTCCAATGGCGTCAAGTAATGCACAGTCCTTCGGTGACTGACTAACCCCCCTTTAAATGACGACAATTTACAATAAAACCCTTTTACACAATTCAATTGAAGGCTTCCGCAAAAGTGTCGAACGCTTTCAACAATTTTTATAGATTCTTTGGCACATTTTACGGTTTCGGTCATAAACCGATAAATGTTGAAAAAGCCACAAAATATGTAAAATGTCGTAAACAGCATCGGTGGCTATCAAAGCAAAGTGAAAGGGTGAAAGGGTTTTCTTTGAATGGTAGGTTCAATGCAAAACCACACACATCCATACATACATGCATACACCGATATGTAACTTTGTTTGTATTATTTAAGATATTTTGTGTGATTCCTTTACTTAAGGACATTTCCTCAGCAGCAACAAGAACAAAAGTCTTTGGCACGAAATGCACAACCACAACTGGCAAATTTGTGGTCAAGTCGTTAAGGTCGTAGTTATTTGGTCCGTTTTTGTTGGTCACTTGTTGACCAAATGAATCTTAAGGATAATAATTAGTGTCACCATAGGTTAGATGGTATGTCCACAATTATTGACATTTGATACGATTTGATTTGATTTGATTTCACAAAGGCGGCAGAGAAGGGAAGGATGAGATTTTGGGTTTATTATTAAGGTACATGTTGTTTGTGGAGAACAATAATTCAGGCAAATGTAACTCTAATATAATTTTAATGATACTATCAAATCGCAAAATGAGATGAATGAATTTGATGGACATATAGTGGAGTGGGGCTAACAATACCCAGCAAAGAAATTGATACAAATTCCTCAGTGTTTAGACAATGTTTTAGTGCCATTTTTTCTATTTGGTGCCATAACTCAAGGTACTATTGGTGAGCATATGGAAAAAATGTCCCATATATCCCTTTATGTATGCTGAACAGACCAAATGACAACGCTTCGTTGACATGAAAAATTAAAGCTTTAAGCTCAAAATTTTGACAAATAAAATCCAAGCAATGTGTAATCCAAACTTGGCACATGACACTCTAACTCGAGAGACTCATTCCAACAGTTCGTGTTAGACCTTTTTAGTACTCAAAATGCGCAAATTGGTCAGTTTAACAACATTTTTAAACAAAACTTCATAAATCGTACTGAATTTTAAGACTTTCAAGGTTTTATATATTATTAAAGTTTTTATTTTTTTCAGAAAAAATAATAGGCAAATGTTTACCATTTATACATAAAAATCTTCGAAATCTTTTATTTTGAAGTTTACCGAGGAGGATATAAGTAAAATCATTACACAGAGGACCTACTTCATATTATTCTGTCCAAAACTACTCCAAGATCTTTTCTTAATAAAAATTGGTCACCACCCTATCTTAATCCTAAAAAAGCAACGGTGACCTCAATAATGTCAGGCTCTGTAATTAATCAACAGCAAATGCGACACCATTTAGTACTACAACCATAACAACCATTTCCAAAAACCGCACCCACGTCTCAATCCCAGATACCAACAGGGACTTCAACATAAAAATTTGGTATCCCAACTCTATCCCTTCACTAAAACCCAATCTAGTGCCACTAAGTACTTTTCGTAAAAATATAGTACGCATTCCCAAAACCACCTCCATATCTCAACCTCAGATACCGACAGTGACCCTTATATCCAATTTCAGGATTTTAGCTCTGTAATTTCTCCCATTACCAAATTTAGTACCATCTAGTACATTGATAGTACGCATATTCAAAGCCAGCTCTATATCTCAAGCACATACATCAACAATGACATCGATATCAATTTGTGAATTTAAGCTCTATTCCTTCACCCAATAGAACATTTAGTACTACTTAATATTTTTAGTACATTTAAAGCTCACATTTCCCAAATCACCTCCACATCTCAGTTCCAGATACAAACACACGCTTTTCGAACAATTATAGCATACATTTCAAAAACCGTGTCTTAACCACTTAATAATTTTCGAACAATTTTAGTACATATTTCCAAAAACTACCTCGATATCTCAATTGCAGA